GTCAATGTTCATTTAGCTGAGCGTAGACCTGATCATATTACATGGTAGCAGCAGTAACTTCACAGAGGTGGAGATAAGGGGCAGAATGAGCCTAACCTTGTGTACACATACACACACACACACATACACACACACACACACACACACACACAGTCTATCCCTCTCACTCACACACTCTCTATCCCTCACACCCACACACACACACACACACACACACACACAGTCTATCCCTCTCACTCACACACTCTCTATCCCTCTCACTCTCACACACACACACTCTCTCTCTATCCCTCTCTCACACACACACACACACACTCTCTCTCTATCCCTCTCTCACACACACACACACTTTCTATCCCTCTCACACACACACTCTCTCTATCCCTCAAACACACACACTCTCTATCACACACACACACACATTCTTTCTCTACCCTCTCTCTCTCACACACACATTCTCTCTATGCCCCTCTCTCTCTCTCACACACACACACACAGTCTCTCTCTCTCTCTCTCTATTCCTCTCTCTCTCTCTCACACACACACACACACATACAACACTCTCTCTCACTCACACTCTCTCTCTCTCTATCCCTCTCTCTCTCTCTCACACCCACACACACACACACACACACGATACTCTCTCTCACTCACGCATGCACACGCGCTCTCTATCCCACACACACACACTCTCTCTCTATCCCTCCCCCACACACACACTCTCTCTCTCCCCTACACACACACTGTCTATGTGCCCCCCCAACACACACACACACACTCACACTCTTTCTCTATCCCACACACACTCTCTATCCCTCACACACACACATATACACTCTCTTTCTCCCCTCTCTGTCTCACAGACACACAGACACATACAGTCTCTCTAAATTCCTCACATACACACTCTCTCTAACCCCCCCACACACTCTCTCTCTCTCTCTCTCACACACACACACACACACTCTGTCTATCCCTCACACACATACACATACATTCTATCTCTCTCTCTCTCTCTCTATCCCTCACACACACTCTTGCTTTCTCCCCGTCTCTCTCACAGACACACACACACATACATACACACACACACACACACTCTCTCTATCCCTCTCTCTCCCTCTCTCTGTCACAGACACACACACACACACACGCACACACACAGTCTCCCTATATCCCTCACACACACACTCTCTCTAACCCCCTCTCACACACACACACAAACACACATTCTCTCTATCCTTCTCTCACTTACACACACACACACTCTATCCCTCACGCACACACCCACACACTTTCTATCATACACACATGCCTACCTTCTATCACATACACACACACACTTTCTATCACACACACATGCACACACTCTCCATCCCACACACAGACACACACACACACTCTCTACACACTCTGTACCCCACACACACACACACACTCTCTCTCTCCCTCACACACACACACACATACACACACACACACACACACACACACTCTCTCTCCCCCCTCTCTGTCTCTCACAGACACACACACACTCTCTGTCTATCCCTCACACACACAATCTCTCTCCACCACTTCCCCCCGTCTGTCACTCACACACACACACACATATACGTGTCAATCTATGGGGTGAATTTGTATTTGCAGTAATATTCTATTTTGTTCAGAAAGCACGCAATTTATAGACAATCAATGTGGCATTTTATAAATTTGTACTTTAGAAATAAAACCAGTCTGACTCCAAACCAAAACACAAACAAACTCTAAACAAAGCCTCACACCTAACATGCATTGTCTGACCTAAAATGTCACCTCTTCTTTACACTGATAAAACCTTTAGTTCTCTCAGAATAGTGATTTCAAAGGAATTCAGGGAATTACATATACATATTAATCAATTAAAACCTTCTAACTGATTAAAGATTTAACAGCATCTTAGGTTTGTTTAACACATCCTCATCAGTGGTGTGACCCTTTGATCTTTTACTTATAAATTCTGTGTCTGATACTACCTCTCTCACTGACACCTGAGGAGCAGTAAGACTCTGAAAGCTTGTGTTTTCAAATAAACCTGTTGGACTATAACCTGGTGTCGTGTGATTTCTGACCTTGTCCACCCCAGTCCAACACCGGCACCTCCACGTCACATTTACAGCCCAGCAAATAGATCATGCTATGGGTAAAGGACAAGGCCAGTTTAGCAATCCAAACTCAGAAAAACCTAGTGGTGAGAGGAATCAACAGGAAATGAACTTCAAGGCTCACTTAGGCAGTGAACTGGGGAGACAGAGTAATCCTGTGCAAGCTGTCAGAGTGTGGAGGAAAAAACCTACGGCAAGGAACGTGGCAAAATGTAAGAAAGTCAGTCAGCCCTAAATCATTACAGTGAATCAGAAATCTTTACAGCTTAGGGAAGAAAAGAAAACTTAAAGTCTGCAGCTGAAAGTGAATGGTACGCACGACTGCTACTGAACATCAGTAATAGAGGGAGTGAATGTTTGTGGATGTGGTGCCAATCAAGTGGGTCTTTTTTTGTCATGGATGGTGTCAAGTTTCTTGAGTATTGTTGTTGGAGCTGCACCTATCCAGACGAATGGAGAGTATTCCATCACACATCTGACTTGTGCCTTGTAGGTAGTGGTCAGACTTTGGGGAGCCAGGAGGTAAGTTACTTGTTGCAGAATTCCTAGCATCTGACCTGCTCTTGTCGTCACAGTATCCATGTGGCTAGAGATAGTAGGAACTGTAGATGCTGGAGAATCCGAGACAACAAGGTGCAGAGCTGGATGAACACAGCAGGCCAAGCAGCACCATAGGAGCAGAAAGGCTGACGTTTCGGGCCTAGACCCTTCATC